GCTTGTTTCACGTCCAGGAAGAAGCAGTACGTCGGCGTTCCCGCCCTCTTTCTACCTTGGATGATTCTCCCTACCGTGAATACGTGGTCTACGCACCCCCTCTTCTTTCGGAAACCTGCCTGGCCCTNCCTGCTGCTTTGTGGCACTTCAGCTTGTTCACACACGCCTCAACCTCGTCCTCAGTGAACTCCACACCGAGGGGGGGGGGAATCGTTGCAAGGTTAGCTTGTTGCAGAAGGAGGGGGGAGGGGAGGGCACCACATCATGCCGTGCATGCAATGAAGGGTGTCAAGCTTCATCGTTGTAGTGGCCTTCCCTGCTCTCCCCTCCCCCCCCCTCTATGCTTCGTCCCATATATTCTGGACGCAGTCTCTCCTTTCGGTATGTGTTTGACGCATCAGCCGGGGTCACACAGGAGGAAGGGAAGAGGAGTAACACCCCCGCAGAGAGCTGTAGCTCATCGCGTTCATGCTCTAGTGATCTATGTACATACGCGAGGAAGTTATGCGACTCCGATGTGGATGGTGTTGTTGAACGACCGTGGGATACCATTCCAGACGACTACGAGCACGCACAGTCAGGGGAGATGCAGAAAACGCATCGCCACCCCCTGGTGAAAAATGTGCATCTTTTGTTGTGTGGGGCCCAATTCTCAGTAGACAGTTCGGGGATCCACAGGTTTCTAATCAAAAGACGAAGACGGGGGGGATTGGAGCTGTCGCTAGGAGTGACAACGCGCTGAGTCTTTTGCACGTCCAATCAGAGGGGATCGCAGGACCATCATCTCCCCGGACAAAATAGCCAGCCACCGTTTCTACCATATCGATCGCGTCCCTTTGACGAATTTGCAGCAGTGACCACGGAAGGCGTCCGCGTCAGTTGGACCGTTGCGGGGATGTAGGATGTACTGAGCGAAGATCGGAACGGTGAAGACCACAACAATAACATATAACGGGAGATCACTCCGATTTTGACGGGGAACGACAAAAAACCGTATCGCCGACCAACGGAAACTCACGGGATGATGCCCATCACGGAAACCCCGAAACCGTTGTAGAGGCCGGCCACGCCCTTGGGACCCTTCGCCGTCCTGCTCAGGCAGTCCCACAAGCCGCTGAAGTCACGCTTTCCGGAGCCCACGTCGGACGCCAGACGCGTCCTTGAGACAGGAAGAATGAGAAGGGGGCGCGCGCGGTAGGGGGGGGGTAGGGGGGGGCGTACTCATATATTTTGCATGCCCTAGTGGTTAGACCATTAACCACGCGTCCTTGAGAAGACGGAAATGTTTTCCCACAGGACCGATCCCCGATGGCCGATCGTTCCTTCCTACTTTGCTAACGGTGGCTCAAATGTGTCCCTGGCCAATACTCTGTATATCCTATCGACATATCTTCCCGCCTTTTCAACGCGCACGAGGGCGGGGGGGTGTACTGATAGTCGTGCATGCCGTAGTCGTTAGACCATTGACCTCGCATCCCTACAAAGCCGGGACGGAGCACGCCGGGGTCTCACCGGACCAGGCTCTCACATCACCAAGCGCGAAGCGCCGTGAGATATTCGGCGAGTCGCATGAAGGGTGCGCTGCATCCTGCTAAGGGTGTTCGGCATCTTGTGCTTACTTCCTTGCGTACGGATGACAGCTGCGTATGAATTAATTTATTTTCTGGTGCTTTCACTTCCAGAGGCAGATATAAGCACTGTGTAATTGCCTCGAGGGTGCTTAACCAATTCAACACAACGTGGTGCGATCATCCCCCTTGCGCGAAGTGAGGCGTCTCGACCCCGCACAACATGATCTACTCGACCGCCATTATGGCTACCGCCAAAAAAAAAACAGAGGTAAAAAAATAACGGTAACCTGGTTGCCGAGCTCACGAAGTGAATTGGCTTGTTTTACAACGTCGTTGCCAAGCGACGAAAACCCAACCCCGATGGCAAACACCGGGGGGGCACGAGGGGGGATGGGGTTGTCCACTGGATGAAGGCAATATTATTTTTTCCAGATGTGGGCGAGGAAGGATGCGAGTGTCGGATATTGCTTTGCATTGACCTGAAAACCATTGTGGGCATCGGTGGTATCGTTGTCTTCATGATCCATACATACCGTGTACCAGCCCATCCTCCTTACAGTCATATCCGTTTCAAAGTGCTCCACGCGCGACACAGGGGGCAGTAATTGTACTGTCGATACACACACGTCTGCTGCCGTCGAAGGAAGCACTCATGCAAACCAAGCAAATACCCACCTCTACAAGACGACATGCAACTGAAACGAGGTGTCGTTGTTGTTGCTAGCAGACATCGATGCACCTGGTGGCCTGAAATCGTTGTTGCACCGAGCAGTCACATTCTTCCACCTATGGCCGTTGATCGCATAGATACCAGCATCTACATCACTGATCCTACCCACACGCCGTTGGCCATGTTTGGCCTCGAGACAATGTGCAAGTACGCAATCGCCCCCCATTCTTTCTTTCAGCGAAAGTTGAAGCAGTGGCAAGAACCTAACACACGAGAAAGGCTATACACTATGGTCGGTGGCCAAGAACCAACGCAGACACAAAAGAGACAAAAGAAGCAAAAAGACATCCCGCTAGGCGACCCGTCCGCACAGGCGAACTCATCCGACGGAGTATCTTCTGCTACTGGAAGAAGTGAGGTTGCTTTGAAAAAAATGAACTCTACGGAGAGCCAGAAACGTGACGGTCAAACGCCAACATCTAAACGAACAATATCACACCTATATACGCTGAAGAAGACCTGCGCATTGCACCGATTGAGGTTTTGCGGAAATCGAAAGAAGGAAGAGATACGGCTTGGGTGGCGACCCCGCGCTCATACTGATATCGATACGCTAGAGGTATTTAGCCTGCAGCGGTCAGACGCAGGCATCATTGCGTGTTCTTCGCGTACCAGGAATTGGAACTGCTGTATTGTTGCTCTACTGTACAGCTTGACCTTAGCGTCCACAGCACATGTTTAAAGCCAGACCTCGCTACAACACTCATTGACGCTGAGTCGGTCTGCAGCAATTGTCTATGTATGACAGCAGTTACCGCTTACAGTCCACACGCTCTGTGTATCAACTTCACCACCACCTCAGAACGTTGCACTCACCGCGCGTAGTCGAGCGGATAGACGAAGCAGAGCGAACCCGCGCCGGCCAGACCACCCGAGGCCATGTTAATAACGAAGAACTTTCCGAACTCGGTCTTCGGGTTAGCCTTGGGGAATAGCCCCTTGATGGTGTCCTTGAATGCGAAGTTGAACGCCTGTGTGGGAAAGTAGCGGATGATGTTGGTCATGTTTCCTCGCCAGAACGCCTTGAGCCCCTGCTCGGAGTACACCCTGGAGAAGCAGTCGCCAATCCCGTTGTAGCGTGCAATCTCGCCCGACTTGATCTTGGGGTTGGCATCCTGCGTCTGGATGATGAGCTTCACGCGCTCGATAGGCGCGGTGCAAGTCTTCGCGACCGCTCCGCTGACTCCGCCGAGGGCGAAGTCAACCAGAAAGTTTGACTGTGCTTTCTCCGCCATAGCGATGGAAGTTGAGCGAGGTATCTCTATCTTTGCCGCTGGTAATGTGAGCGTCGTTGTGCTTGTAATCGGTGGAAGAGAGAGCAGACGAGAGAGAGCGAGGTGCCGCCCGCTCGCCCGCTCGGCGTGATACCGCGTGGGTCAACGAAGCGGAACTTGCCACAAAACTGCTGTCGGTTCGATACACTACACAACCTGTGGCATGATTCGGCAACAGGGGACATCGTTCAATATCCCCCCCCCCCCCCCCCCCCCCCCCCCCCCCCCCCCCCCCCCCCCCCCCCC